AACGTTTGTATCTCAAAGACCATGTTCTGCCCCTTTAGAGATACACACACAGGGACATCTCAACTTCCCCCTGAAATTTTTCTCTCTATGGGCTGTTTGGTATGCCTTATACTCAATCTACTGACATACCACAAGAGAAATTAATACCTCTGGATCTTCCAGCAAGAAAAGTCTGTTGCTGCAAAGTTTAGAGTCAGTCACACATCATTTGGAAAAACAGCTATTTAGTACCTGGACAAATCTAACTAACCATCTTGAGCTATACAGAAATGTAGTACTAGAGAACTTGTAGGGTGGAAAATAAAAGGAAAAAGAGGCATTTTTTTCAAATACTGTCATCTTGCCCGCCACTCCTGCTACAAAGTGTAACCTAGAATGCAACTCTGTTCCTTACCATTCTGTGCAGGTGCACAGGACAAGGAATACTTTTTGTTCATAATGTATATGCTTGCAAGTTAACCAAGGTATTTTTGAGGAATTCCGTAATTCGTACTTTATAATCTATAAAATCATGAGAAAGAAGCAACTGATTGAAATGCAAGGGAAGCGGGCTTAAGTGTTCTTCAAAAATAAGTAACTACATCATAGTGTACATTGTGACTTCTCAAGTTTCGTGGTTTTAAAGGTAAACTCTGGAGACTCGACAGTTTCTGAAGAAACAAGAAGAGGAAGCAGGCTACCAATAAAGGTTAAAAAAAAAAATCATCAAGTAAACAAGAACTAACTTCGACAACGAGTTTTTGAATGCATCCCACTAGGGCTGGGATGCATAAGGGAGAATATACAGATACTCTCAAAACTTACATCGAGTCTTAAAATGACAAACCTGAAAACCCATCATTGGGTTAAAAAGTGAGATTATCACATCTATCATGCAGGAATACAGGAACAAAATGCAAAGACTGCTTTTCGTCTACCAAAAGACTTGAGATAAGAGAATCATACAAGTTTTTCCTCCTACTTTTATTAATTTGTAATATGAAATAAGTTTAAGGAATTGCTAGGTCACTTTGACAAAGTCATTTCGTAGAAAAAAGAAGACATTGTCTTAATAGCATTACACTACTAATCAACATCATAATTAAAATCTGACTGCTTACTATTTTACTGTTCACCTGCCACCAAGAATCCAATTTGGACAATTACAGGATAAAGTACTAAGTTCTGAGCCTTAAATATAGTCTCCAACAGAAAAAAAATCTAGGTGAAATTTTAAAGAGTGAGCACTACACAAAAAGAAAACGTCTCACTGTTTTTAGAACAATAATTCAGTCATAGCCTTATCTTAGAATAACATTAAGTGCTTAACTTAAGAGTCAGAACATACAAGCAAAAATTCCATAAATGAATAAAGAAGTCAAAAGCATAGTAACACATAGAAAATTATTATCAGCATTCTGGGTAATTGCTATTCTTGTTACACAAAGTTACCCAATATCCCAAGATTCTGTAATAAGCCCTCTGTGTAATGCCTATTACCCTCCCTTGGGTTCCCATTATAAGAAGGTATCTAATTCTTACCAAGGATGCTCAAAAGCTCCCCAGTGAAACTGAAGGAAGATGCTTCTCCTAACAACAGTACCAGGAAGTGTTCCTGCTAATTGCCATTTTTATTCCTACAGCATAATGTCTGGCAGCATTAAAGAAGCTAAACCAGTCAACAGTCACCACAACGAGTTGAGAATGCACATTATTTTTGCTGTAATATTTGTGCAAGTAATACCATACTCCCTTCACCACAATTTTGCTCTCCTGATTGGGAATCAGACTCTTACTTGGACCAGTTTCTTACCTGCCTTATTTTTTATTATCAGCTAAGAACTTTTCTGCAAACCCCTACCCACTTAGGAAAAAAAACAAACAAACAAACAAACAAAAAAAAACCCACAAAAACCCCACAAAAACAAAACAAAAAAAAAGGTGCTCTGCAGACTTCAGGGTGCCTGCAGGACCACAACAGAGAAGCCCATACACCAGGCATACTCAGCCCAGGTCGGCTCTTGTCCAAAGACCAGTCACTTGGTAGGCATGGTAATGTCTCCATGGGACTTATTATATTAGCTTGGCATACCTCCATGCCAGCAAGGTTACCTGGTTTTAACATAGAGCTAGTTTAGGGTACCGAATCTGTCTACGTTGGTCAAGCAGGTATCCCTATGGAATCAGCACCTTTAGTACTGTTTTTTAGACCAGGTCACAGCATGACATCTTTGAAAGTATCATGGAAAAAGGCCATCTGTTTCCGAGACAAACCAACACATGTTTGCACAAATGAAGATAGCGACTCCTTTTCTTAACAACTTTATCTGAAAAGACTGTTGTAGTTGCGAGCTTAAATACTCAGCTAGGACTAGGTAACCTTTTCAAATACATCAATCACTGAAAAATTTGCGTTTGATCAACAAAAAACTATTCATTGAACTGAAACTTTCTTACTTTCCATAAAATAGTAATATGTACAATAACCAAAAATAGTTCCAGTGTCAAATTTTATTGAAAATGTAATTACTCCATACAAAGCAGAGCAGCATCAGTGAGACAGATTCAGGAAACTGCTTTCAAAACACTATTATAGTCACTAAAAAAATAACTTAATCTTTAGTAGTATATGTTCAAATTCCTTCAGGCAGAAGAGGTTATTAAAGACCTCTCCAACATATTAGGAGTTTAAACCACTGTAGCTGTACCCTTCTCATTCACATATAATGAACTAACTCTGGTTCACCAGATGAGATATCCTAAACATAATGAGAATAATCCTGTTATCGTTTTAGTACTTCATTTATAGTTATTTAAAGTTAATGGATTTACATGTTTATATTAATATAAATTTATATTCACTTATCCCAACCTAAAAAAAGAAAAATTCATCCTTCACATATACTGATGCATTTTATTAGTAAGAGCCACGATAGCTAGCATTTTCAGTAAAAGCCTGATTGATACAATCAAATTGATTACTGTAGCCTTTGGGATTATCTTTCAAAATAACAATTAGTATAGTAGATAAATGAATACAAGCATTCTATCATGAAAGCATATAAGCATATGTAACTGAACTTAAAAGTTCAGCAATGCTTTATAAAGGTGGGTGTTGCTAGCCTGCAGATACTATACTATGGCACTTCGTTGATTTAAAATATAGGTATATACTTAGAATTGTAAACTTCTTAGAAGTGAACTCAGAAAATAACTCTTGTGTCCTTTTTAAAAGACAGTATACATGAGTTCTAAAGAAACTCTGCAGCACTTTTTACAGTTACTAAGCCCCCATAATGATGAATAAGTCCTTAATTACTTCTTGCTGAAAAAACCTTAATTTTCAATGGGTATTATTCATATTCTCTGAAAACTTGCTCCTTTTGCAGTTAAAGGCCTGCAAGTTAATACTCACTGAAGCCTTCATCAGGAACACCAAACTGTTCACAACTGTGGTGGGAACCATACTACCAAAATAGGGAAGCCAGTACAGAATTGGGCTTTAGTATGTCTTATTACTGCAAACAGTGAAAGAAAATAAACAACTGTGCTTTGCAGTGCCAGAATAACACTAAGAAAACATCCATTTATTCAGCCATAACAGCAAAAATATAGTGTTGCCAACACACCTGATATATATATACTGGGTGGCTTCAACAGACACAATCATACCACCTGTGGATTATAGGTTTTCACTCACTGCCTAAACTATACCAGTAAAAGCTTGATGTGTATCACAGCTGTAAAGATGTACTTAATTTCACATGAGTAGCCAGAGTGAAGGAATTATTTGTATGTAAAAAATTGAGAAGGAAGGCCTTTGTGAAAAATCAAAATCTTAGAATGTAACTGTATTTTATTTTATATTTCATTCAAATTATTGTTATTAATGACAAATATTTTTTTTAAACTTCTTGGACTATAACAGCTCTCTAAAGCACTTGGGCATTTAATAATTCTAATTATTATTATGTAGTATTAATGACCACATATCAATTAGATTTGAAATATAAATGCAAAAACACATGCAAGTGATTAATTAGCTTTTCTTTCCTCTCAATAATAATTGTTCCCTACATAAAACAAAACCAACAAAACCCCCCATCCTAAAAAACACAGTCTCTTTTACATCTTTTACATAAAATTCAAGATGACATCTATTATTTTAATCACTACTTTAAACTTTTCTGCAGCAAGCACAATGATTCCACTAATTGGTCACATACAAAGCAGTACAACATTTGTCCTGAAAAGCAGAAACTGTAATAAAAAGACCCTAATCCAAATTAGTGCTGCCGCACCTGCTGCTATTTAAACAAAACAGAAAAGAAAAAATAGTGTCCTTAAACAACAGGTAAACTGATCTCCTATTAAGTACAGTTGCCTACAAGTAACTGCAAAGGGCAAACAGGAATACATTTATCAGGACTGCAAGACTACAGTGCAAGCTTTGTTGTATTTATCACAGTAACATTGGAATAGAAGCAAACAAATGGGCACAGATGCAGACTTTGAAACTACCATTAGAACTGTCAGTTCTCATCTTAACTAACCGTAATAAATCAAAACAGCTACATAGCAAATTCTCATATTGTCTGAATATGCAAGAACCTGGTTTTCAGCAGAAATACTATTACAGTAGTGGGGGTCCTGGCTTAAAATTCTTAACAAAAACCACGATATATGGTTAAAAAATTTTCCATACTGTTTTTTTCTCCATAACCTTAGGAATGTTCAACAGGATCCATCTGTTCTACGGAAATACTTTGCACTGGCAATTATGAAGTGAAAACAATGGCAGAAGCAAGTAATTTGCAGATCTTACTTTTCCAAATTCTTCGTCTTTTTAATAGTTTAATAGTCTGATACACTTAAGACAAGACATCTAGTAATTTTCCTCCTCTTATGACTACCTATCAATTACATTACTTTACAACTAGCCTATACATATATGTATAAGGTAAGAACAAGAAAGCTACAGAAATAAAATATAATAAACACAATACTTATAATGACCATACCTAGTAATAAGAACCGCATTATCATGGTGGGCAATCCCATTTTCTGGAATGGTGTTTCCATCACTTTGGTGAGAGAGAATGGATTTCTGCCACTTACAGAAGCTATCGAGGGACTTGTCTGCATGGTGGTTTATCTCCAAGTTTGGCTGCAATACAACATGCATACCAGAAATGTTCCAAACAAATTACTAAGGTCAGTTGTTAAGCCTTCTGAAAACTAAAATGGGACTATAATTAGAAGCAGTGGTTTCTAGGAATAAACTCTTCTTGCCAGATTTTATCTCAGTAAAATCTGACCCCAAGTTCAGCTGTGTATTACTGAACAGGCATTCCTCCTGCTACAACTTTAACTGATTATGTCAATACAAAAAAATCAGAATATCAAAAGATAGATCTAAAAATAAAAGTGAAATCCCCAAAGGTGTATTAATATTCACCTGAAGAAAAGGTATCTTTGAGATGATACATGAGGAATACTCCTTTGAACTGTTTCATCTTGATTAAAGTAGTGAAAGATTACAAGATATGTTTTGTACTCAGATGCAGCCATTTCATTTCAAGCAATAATTAAATGTAATCTATATTACACAATAATGTAACTTGTACTTCAGGGATATGAAGCTTAGCACAACAGCTCTTACCTGATCTTCAGTGAGAACAATTAAACGTGTCACTATAATATTCACAACGTTTCCTAGACTGGAATCACGATAAAGTTTGGCAACCTGACCTCCAGAAAATAAGAAAAGGCACAAAGTCAGACAAGAAATACCACTTGATTCCTAAATGGTTAAAAATAACCTATTTCCTCACTCAATGTAATTTCACAATGATAATTATCATTATCACCTGAATAAGAGTTATTTTGGGGCCAAAAAAATGACCATTCAGTAAAACAAACTTCTTGGGTCACACTTTGCAACCAAAACTGTTTATACCTTGTTTCAAAATTCATCCAGCGTAAGGAGCACTTAGACAGTAGACTTGAACAGAATAGAACTGTATAATCTATGTATAATCATATGAATTTAAAATTAAAGACAATTAAAAGTGATCACAGTTTACTTCTTCACAGAAACAGTGCTGCATTTTTCCCATGTTTCTAACAATTGCCATATTTCAACCATTAATTCCTGCAAGTTGATGCATATTTTAAAGCATTATTCATGCCAATAAATAAATACAGTTGCTTTATCACTTCAGTACATGCATACTGATACGAATACAGAGAGGGATGAAACTTACAATATTCATTACACTCAAAATGTAGTGTTCAATGTCTTTGCGACCATGGTATCCCACCATCATTTTGTCTGCTACTACCAGTGTTTCCACAAATCGTTCAAGGCTTACTGATCTCTTCTGTCGATTATGACTACTTAATGTGTCATTAACTGGAAGTGAAGTTGGAAAAGCAGATGCATCACTCATCCACCAAGGTTTACTGCTTCTTGTGAGGTCTTCTAGGAACCAAAATAATTAAATGCTTCAGAGGGGTCACTAGTAAAACTCATTCAAACGCAGTTATTTTATGTTGTGATTACCATCTTCAAGTTGCTAAAAAGAAGTCTTTCTTGAGGAAAAAAAAAAAAAATCTAATTTTTTTATCTTGGTTTTAAAATACCTTATATAGTGGAAAACCAAGTTTGAGTTCTATTATTCTCAACTCTCCTTAACTTGACTTAGAACAATAAATCACCAACCTTTTCTTAACAGATCTGACTCTGCACTTCTATGTTAATTCTAAAACTTAATTATAATTAACCATAAGCACACTTCAGAATTTTAAGGATAAGAACAAAGCAGACATAACGTTTGGAGAAAAAATACTGGAAACCAAAAATGAAAAATTAACATAAAAAGTATAAAAATATACTAAGGAATTAAACACACTGATAAGGTACCAGAAAAGCTTTTTCCTTCCTATGAAGGAATAATTATTAGACAATCCTGTAATTATTAGAAAATTATGCTTACATATAGTTTCAGGGCCAAATAAATTCACTTTCTCTTCAGAAATCTAACAGATTATGTTTTATCTACTCCTTCTGCTACAACTTGCCCTCCAACGTGAATTAACTATAATGGGAAGTGTAAAATGGCCTGACATGGGGTAATTGCTATAGTTATTTTTAACACTAATTTTAATTCAAATATGTTGATTCTTGTACTTGTTTCATATAAATATACAGAAAAAATATTTCTTGCATGCAAGAGACTGATTATTAAAAATCCAAACAGCTATAATATTCAGCAAAACAAACACTACAAACTTACTTTGAATTTGACTTCCTGCCCTCAGGACAAAATTGAACATGCCCTTCCTTTCAAAACTGTCATTTTTGTGTGTTCCACAAAGGCCCACACAGATCTCAAACTAAAGTTTATCAAAGTATATTACTAATCTGGTTTTACCTACAAAGGATTTCAAAATATTTTATGTATTCTTGCTAGTTATGCATAAACACAAGACTTAACAGTTTGATACACTTGTAATTGTCTGAAAAGGGCTGCTCAAGTGAGCAATTTCTGAGATGCATCCTTACCTGTACTAAAAGGGGTTCAGCTAAGACGAATTGAGATAGGACCTGTATGTTCCATGAGAAGGAAATGATTCACGCAATTTAACTAAGCACACTATATCCAAAGAGCAGTAACTACACCACAAAGAATGTATGCTCAGGTCAAAATCGGGCATACAAAGCTTCAGCATTCCCACTGTTGTGTTGTTTCATAATTTGAGGCCACAATGTTGGCTTTAAAAGGTGCATATTTTAGAAAAGTCAAAAAATGAAAATAATCCTGGTAGTTGAAACAATGTTGGTAACAAAATTGTCCTCGTTCTGCAATGGGTATAAACTATCAAGTATTAAAGCCTGTTCAGGATGCTATAATGAATACTAAGCTTCTTCCTGTATTTCATCTCTATTGTAGGAAATTCAAAGTTGCTTTAAACTTTCAAAGACTTTATGTCATTTAAGCAGTGATTTAGAAATGCCTGCAACTTTTTCTGACAGCTTCCATACTAAAATTTTTTTAAATACACTTTTAATTTACAAATAACAAATGGGGACAATCTGATGCTCTTAAGAGTGCTATAAGTACTTTAGAAATACAATACTGCTTCCACATTCCGCCATAATTTTTCACTCAAAGATGCAAGTCTATTCTAAACATCTGACAATTGATGAGCTCATGCAGAAAACTTTCACAGAAAAACAGAAAATACTATTTTGGACTCATATTGATAGTGTCTTTCAAACAAAGGTCTCAGGAGTTAACAAACCCAAACATTTCTCCTTTTCTTATCAGATGAGAAGCTTAGGCTTCAGCTGGTCTCAAAGTAATGGGAAAGCTTGAAATAATTCTGAGTACTTAGCCTCACACCCCAGGATGTATCAATGCTTACGCTGTTTTACATTAAAACCACTAAATAATGCGGACTGAATTTTCTTTAAAAAGCTAAAACATGTCAATAAAAGTCTACAGTATATGTAACAAAATTAGTTCTGTGGCAAATTATGCCATTTTCCCACCATATTCCTAGATTAGAAATTAAAAAATTAAACCTCACTAACATCAAACACAGCTATTGGAAAGTAAAAAAAAAAACAAAAATAACCCCACACCAAAAAACAAACATCACTAAAAAAAACAAACACAAAAAAAGGGAAGAAAAAACCCACAGAAAAATACTGCAATGAACACCAAAATAACAATTACAAAAACAAGGAATCAGGTTTTAAACAGCAACTGAAAAGAAGTCAAAACGTGTAGACATGGAGTTCACAAATATGGTACCAAATTTTTCCTAAGTCAGTCCTGTAAAGAGCATAGGTAGAGGTTAAGGTGGAGAGAGAGGAGAAAGCACAAACAGAAGATGATCTCAAAACACAACAGAAGTCTACTTAATGTAATATGCAACTATGAGTATATTTTTAAGTGAAGCATTATGTGTTGGTTTTTTCTTACTATTTTAACATCATCATTTAATGTACATACAAGCATTTTTTCATTTTAGATACACTGATTGTGATGTCTGGCACGAGTAAAACCATCACATAAGGCAGCATATAGTAGAGCTACTCCTAAATAATCTGCCACTCTGCAACTTTCACATGTCAGCTTTTGCTGTTTCTCAATCCTATCCAAAAACAGCATTCTGCAAGATAACTGAGTGGTCTTAAATCCAATTGAAGCAATTGGAATTTGACAGTGGTCAACTCCTAACCAAGGCCTTAATGATTTCAACTATATTTAATAAAGCATAGTTAACTCTGTGATGATACATGCATGAAACAGTAATTTAACATTTTTTATTTTTTAAACATTCTTATATCTAACTGCTTACAATCTAATTTAGGTTTTTAAAATCTATCCCATGTTCTTACCTGAATCTCCTTGCCTCACCAGTTCTTTTGTATTATCCACCATAATTCTGCTACCTACTATGAAGTGGTCCATCACTTGCCCATCGCAACCAATTCCAATCATCCTTTCACCAAATTTCTATCACCCCATTTAATACCAATTACTGCAATTTTTCTCAGAAAGGTCAGAAATAACACTCCCCTTGACTCTACCAACACTTCAAATTCTTGACCAATTCGCTGATATAGAACAGGTAGACAGCAAATTTAGGCTTAGGTTACAGTAGGGGGAACTTGCCAGATCTTGAATAGTAGCACAGCTACATCAGCGAACTCTTCCCAGAATTCTATACTGGCAAAACTGTTCGGAAGGTAAAGCTAAACTCGGTCTCCTGACAAAAGAAATTATACACTGCTAAAAGGCAGCTACAGGTTTGTTACAACTGCATTTTAACACACAAAACTAGACTGCTCAAAACTTCCAAAATCAGTCAAATGCCCCCAAAATTACTGTAAACTTGGCTTTAGTCCCAGGGTCTGAAAGCTGTGAAACTGAAAATTAATATTTGATTTTAATTTTTATATATTCTGGGGATGTTTTGGATGCCATGTCACTTTGGGATAAAGCTGCAACAGTGCTCAGAAAACAAGTTTAAAACTTTGGTACCCTTTAGGAGAACATTAAAACAGCACGCCGTCTGGAAATGTAAGACCTTGCAGTTTTGGGGGAGAGCAGATTTTTTCAGACATTTTCATGGACTGGAAGTAGCATATGTAACAACACAGAAAGGAGAAACTGAGATGAATGAGCATGATAGTAGTCTCAGGCTCGTAAAAGGCAGTGCTTTGGTATTTTAATAATTAAGGACTTCGGTATGTGACAGGCATGAAATCTCAGGAAATGCACAGGAGCTTCAGAAAACAAAGGCAGCATCAAATATGCAAAGAAATAAATGCTAAAGATCTGCACATCTCAAAAAATGCACACAAAATGCATTAACCTATGATCCATATGACAGATACCGCCAGAACGACTGAATGCAATCTAACCAAACTAGCTGCCACTGCTTCTTCCTCACTTGGAGGAGAATGACTTCCTAAGCATTAATCTAAAAGGTAACATCGGTCAAAGGCCAATATCCATTCTTTTTCTAGGGATATAATAATGACAAAAATTGCATCACCCTACATTTCATAATCCTTTCACTTATTTCAAGAGGCTTAAGTGACAGCTTACCCTACAAAATGAACATATATCAGTATTCTTATTTCACAATGAGTTAGCAGGAATTAATAGAAAATTTGTTTTTCAATATTGGAAGCATGTAGGTGGAATAATGCTTCCAAACTAAGACATAAATTACATACATGAAGTCTGACATTCCCTAAACACAGTTAACTGAAACACTACAGGACAACTGTCTCCAAAGCACAGGCTTTTGTAGACAACCTGTACTGTAAGGTTAGTCAGCTGGTGCCAGTAAAAGTTACAACCTCCAAAAGAAGCTGAAATAAGTTATATCAATGAACAGTGATGGTACCTTATTTTAATATTAGTATTTGTTAGCCTGCTCTGTGCACTGAATCTCATGCAATACAACTGTACAGGACTGAACTTTTAAGAAAAAGCTATTATATTTCTGAGATATCAACAAATAACAAGATTAGAACATTTTCCTACTATGTAAAAAAATCCATTGTTTTAGTGCTTTAACATAATTTGTCAGATTTAGTCCATGCTGTCTTCAAGAAGTCAGTTTTCAGTCTCAAGTTTAAGCAAGTGAAAAATCACATCAAAGAATACCTGAAAAGTGTACTTGTGGAAGTTAAAACTGCTTTACAAGGAAAATATCCCTCAATCAAAAGGATATAGTTTTTCCCATAAGGTACCTGTAAATCACATATTCAACTACTGGTAAAAGCCAGTATCAAAACAAGAAAGATGTGGACTCCAGTTCCAAATGTATTACTAATCATAATACAATCATCCTCAAATGACGTAGAGCACTTACTAAACATTGAGCTATACTTAAGTCACTTAATCATGCTTTCCAGTTGGGAAATGAAGTACATTTATAACACATTTTGGGGAAGCCAGTGCTCATTACTACCACTGTACACAACACAGGCATAAAACTAGCCCTACTCCCTCTGTCTGAGTCTTTGAAAGACAGTATACTCTCAATCTGAATCTGAAAAAAAAGCAAAACTACATTTCAACAGGGCACACCACATCACCCAAAAGGAGGATTCCCATTGCTACATTCTCCACTGTGAACCAAGCAAGGTTTTAAAATACATCTTAAGTTATAATTTTTTTTGAAGGAATGACAGTCATACTCATTTACCTGAGACTCCACAGTGACTGTGATCATAGAGATGCTGCTGGTGCATAGTAGATTTTTTGTATATTACATGAGGATGACCATTCTCATAATTAAAGTTACTAGAATCTTCTGTTGTATTCCTTAAAGGCTCAATAAAATACTCTTCATCTTCTGTAGCAATGACTCCATGCTTAAACAAGAAAAGAAAACAAAAACTTGCAAGAGACAATATAAAACTCCTATTAAAAAGCTTAACTTTAAAAAAACATTTGACTACCATTTATCTCTGAAGAAATCCACAACTGGTGGATGTGGTAAGAAAGGAGGAGATATTCTCAGTATATGACAATCTCTCCACAGAGATGTTCTAAAACTACATGATTCATATCCATTAAAAGTGACGCCAAGACAAAATGGCCTTGCTCGTAAGACCAATATCCCTCTATGATGCCAATACTGGTAGATCCTTAAAGCCACATACTGCATCAACCTAAAATGTCATGAAGGATTAATTTTAGAACATATATTCAGGGAAACGATTCAGCATTTTGCATCCAGATGCTTAATTCCAAAACTGAGCTAGTTATTAAAAATCAAATTATTAGCATAGGATTAACTACCTACAAAGCTTTTACTCCTTGAAAGATCTTGCCACAAATCTGGCAAATCCAAGTTGTTGCAGACTGTGCACTAGACCTCATTCTCTACAAAAAATGAACATGTGCACTAGACCTCATTCTCTACAAAAAATGAACATTTTTTCCCCTCATACTGCAGTGCAGATGAGTAGATATACTACTATCATAGCTTTCACATTTGTGAATTCAGCTTTTTCCAAAAATGAAGTGGTTTATGGAAGACACGGGAGATTACAGGCCAACTATGAAATTTCCAAAACCTTCATCAACTAAAACTGAACTTTAGTAGAAAATTCAATTTGGGGATCCTTTTAGATATGGAAATATTGGGGAATAAGCCCTGACAGACTCCTAGACCTATATTTGCTAAATAAAAAATTATGGTATCCATATCTAGAAAATTCTGAATTTATGAATTTTCTACACCAGTAGAAAGAGCTAGCCATCAGGTAGGAGACTGGAAACAGGAACTTCTGCATTCATATCCTGATTTGATGAACCACAACTTTCTAGCACACCTTCGATCTGTAAAACAAGTACTATGAATGAGTTTAAGGTGTTATTTTGTCCTCCAGTGAGACCTCTGATCAGCCTTGAGATCACTTAAGATCACTTGTTCCATAACTGCTCTAAATATCCTAAAGCTGTTGCTAAGATCAGGGCTTGCCATTGTACTCTTGGTCAAAGCTCTCATTCTGCTGCTGTTTTGTACATCAAATAACTGCTGTTCTTTACTCCCGGAATAGCAAGATTTTAGTAACAACATAAAACTTACAAAATAAAAAATCCTGTATAACACATCAAAAAGAACAGCGTTTTCCAAATATAACCCTATTATAAATTTTGAAAATCCATGTATGAACACACTGCAGTTTTCAGTTACACATTCCTTACATAGTGATTGTAACAGTAAGTGTTCCTCTTCAGTGGTATTTTTCATTATGAACTCAATAATTTACTCAAGAAGGTAACATCAGGGTCTATATTCACCTGGAAGATACTGGTATCAAATTCCTTTCACAATGCCTTCTTGTTACTTGGAGTCCAAGATTTTACTAGAAAATAAATCATTTGCTGGTACACTGCTGCTTAAATAGCATTGAAATTATAAACCAAATTGTAACTGGGTTTGCCAGATGTGCAGAAAGAACCTTGACAGTCTGGACTACATCCAGTCTGGATGTCAGACATCTGGGTTCAAGTGAATCCTGAGCCATTATAAGCTCTGGTATTATGTTCCCACAGGAAGAGAGTCCTGCAGAGTGGTTCTAGCCAACACCATCAGGCTGTCTGCTTCATGCCAAGCCTGAGGAGACCAAGGTACCATCCAGCCTGTGGCTCTGTCTCTGCAACATGAGCAGATCTTAACCTAAATCTGATTACCCCAGAACACACACCCTTCATGTCTATACTCAAGTCCAGTCAGGTTAACAAGTCTAAGCATGAATGAAACATTTATATCAAATACTGAAACTCATAGTTTTAAGCAGCACGATGACTTCAGTAAGAGTGAGTCAATTCAGATGCCACAAACAACAGTTAATTGCAGCATTAATTCTCTATACAATTTTTATAGTTGCAGGAGCAAATACATAAAAACTATTATGAATGGCTGCAAACTGTGTTCCTTCAGGTACCAGCAGTGAAAAAGTTTAGGAGAGTATCACTGATTTTTCCTATGCCTAACTGACATCTGATCTCATCTGCCCAAACACTATGGTGCTTTAAGAAAAGATATTTTAATAGCATTTAGTTGAGGAACTGCAAATGAATTTTAACTTAAACCTATCACCAGGTAGTCAGAACATGTATGCAGCCAGTTGCTGCAGCTAGGCAAGTGATTTCATAAACAGTGGAAACACACTTGCCCTGCGTATGGCCTTCACATAAGCCTAGCATATACATTTTAAACCTAACATACTAATTTCACTTGCAAACAAAACTGTTCTTCCAATATTAAACTGATGCAAGTGGCCTTGTTGATCACAGTAACTGATTTTTAAGAAGCACTCTGAATTCTGTACATAAAAAGTACCTATGTCAGTGACAACCAGCATTTATTCCAATTATGAGTTTAGAAAATTCATGTGGCTAGAGATGCTTCCATTGTATAGACATTCAGCAATGCCTGATTAATAAATAGTGGGAATAATGCTATCATATCCAAACCAACGTTCTAAACCCTGGGTTTAATCTATTTGAGCAAAACACAATTTCAGTTGAAAATGGATAATGAAATAATGCTCTTTTAAAGCATTAAAGGAATTACTTTTTTTTTTTTTTTTTTAGTTTTGCTGTTATATTTTAACAGTTTGTAAATTGAACTTCTGCTCCAAAGCATAAGAAATATCATTAAGACATAAGAATGACCGGCAAAAGGTTTTGACAAAACACCACGAGTTTAAAAAACAAGCCGAATGACCCAAGTAGGTTACTACAAGAAACATTCCCAAGATTATTATCTAAAACAGATTGTTCGAGGTCCTGTGTTATCCAATCCCACTACAGACTGCCAACTCCTGCTAACATACATAAGATCTGGATCCAGCAGTTTGACATGCTCAGACGAATCTGTGAATCCACATGGAGTTCCCCTGAATTTGAGAAAAGGAATCTTTTTCTGTCAGGCTGTCCAGCTGGGGCCCTAACCTCCTTCAGATGGGGGATGCCCATCAGTCACAGAAGCAACCTGAATTATGGAGGACAAATAAAAGTGCATGCCTTTACAATTTCTCCAAGCCTTAAACCTTTCTAGACTTTATGCTTTATCCATTTTTAATATAAAGTTGTAGTAATGGAAACTTGAAATGTGTCAATGTTGTCCAGTATGACTACAGCTTTAGTGTGTTTTTATGACTGAGGAAAAAAAAATCACATTAGCTTACTGTGTTCTTAAAGATGAAAAAAAGTGATCTGTGCTGAGACTGTACATCGCGGAATCTAACAAGCCACCTTAAAACTAGGACAGGGTCAGATTACATACAATTTTCTGAATACTAAGTCTATACTGCAAATACATATTAGTACTAAAGAGAGCTCCAAAGACATTGATATAGAACACTAAATCCTCTTCGCTGTCATTTCTGATCTTTGTAAATTATTTTATAAATGAAACATTATTTTACATATGATTCAAATATACCATACTACAAGCAATTTATAATCTATAAAAGTAGATGCATTCTTTACGGTAGAACCATTTTCAAATGACCTATTTTAAGAATATGAATAATTTATACATATATGAATTCAGGAATACATGGAAAAACATTAAATCTTCCAGCAAAATAATTCTTCCCTTAATGAAGTAAGGTCATGCTTTTAGCCATAGCCTACTTCTTATGCTTTCTTTATAATTTCTGTTTGGAGACATCTGTGCTACCCAGCACAAATGTTAGTGCATAGAACTTCACACACCATGGACATACTTGGCCTTTTACATTAAACATTTCCTTGGAACCACAGTAGCCTCAAAATGTGATTTAACCTCTCATCTGTTTTCCAAACAAACACCTTCTACATATTTTCAAGTATTTCCCACTACTTGGCTTTTCAGCTCAAAATAAGAAAATCCACTACTGTGGAAAACTTGTTTGAGAACTCAGTTAAGAGCTTTGACACCTGGCAGAAGACAGAGGTGGGTCAGACGACAAAAAGTTTGGTTTCTGCTTAATTCCAGTACTATGAGGCCCAAAACTTTTCTTCATTAAGACTTGCTTCCATCAGAATTAGAAAATTTCCCTTGAGGTGAAGTTGTTCTCTCTTCAGCTTTCTCTCTCTCTTTCTCTCTCTCTTTCTCTCTCTTTCTCTTTCTCTCTCTTTCTCTCTCTCTCTCTTTCTCTCTCTCTCTCTTTCTCTCTCTCTCTCTTTCTCTCTCTCTCTCTTTCTCTCTCTCTCTCTTTCTCTCTCTCTCTCTCTTTCTCTCTTTCTGTATAACTCAGCCTAGGCAATGTCTCAGCCTTGTTGCCTTCCACCCAACATCCAAAGGCCCCAAAATGCTGCTCGTTGCAGGCTCTCTCAGGAGAAAGCCAAACCTGCATTCCATCCACAAAATCCATCCACTACAGTAAATAAGAATTTGGAAGCCAGCAAGCCTGCTGGACAAGACCTTCAATTGCCTCACATGACTCATTGGATTATAGATCTCTCCTCATAACTTCAGACAATTTATAGATAATCGGGGCCCAGCAGATGGAAACTGCTGGAATGAAACTTCAGTAAGTAGCACCTTGTAATTCTGGGACACTTGGTAATAAGAAACATAGAGAGAGGGGCTGCAATGGGAAACAGTGGCAAGGAAATTAACTGACTGCTCGTCACTTTTATTATAATGAAACCATGAGAAAGCTCTCCTTGCACTAGAACTCATCTTAGATACTTACTACAAGTATTCTTCAAAATCCTATATCCTGTGTTACCTACACACCCTGAAAAACTAAATAGAACAACTCAAAGTAACTCAAAACGTTCACTATGGGAAAGAAATTTGACTCATTTGGCAATACTGAAGCCTAACAGGACAAATGGAATAAATGGAATGCTTAAATTTGGTTTGTGAACAACATTCCCTGTTAAAGATTACTACCTGTTTTAGAGTTAAATTTAAAATGACTAGCTTTGAGTCAGATGTTAATCAAGGACTATGCAGAATGTGACTGGCAGTCTCTTACAGAGCAATAGACTGGGATATATAAATGCCTTAGGCACAACACGTTCTGAACTATCACTAATTCTAAAAGAAGTAATACTGTATTCATTGCCAATTGCTTTATTAAATATGTTCTAAGCAGCAGCTGTATAACAAAATATTCATCAGTAGGAATCATCATTTTTAAATAACTCTGTGATGAATTTGTCTGAATGGAGTGGTAACTCCCATACTCGGTGCTCCGGAGAGCCCTGCCCTAGAAGACAGAGGAGTTTCTGTACAGTAGAGGATGATACTGAGTCGAGTCTACTGCTGCACCCCTCTGCAGGACTTCTGCCTCCCTGAGAGAGAGCCTTGTGTCATCCCTACTGCTGCTTCTGGAGAAAACAGTGGCCTCATATGCTTGTGGCTGAGCCTTTCTAGGAGATGCAGTGGACACCTAACACTTCAGTCCCAAAAAAGAGGTATGACCATGAAGAACTCGAGTGCAGTTATGGTAGGCCCATAGACTGGATTAAGGCTGCCTTAATACCTGGAAGAAAAATGTAAGAGCTCATGACAACTAAAAGCACTGAAGATGACCATTTCACTGCAAAGCACTCCACACTAAAGTTTACTTACAAACACTAAGTTACCATACTGACACCTAGAACCACAGAACAACAGGCAGCTTCACTCCAGCAAAACAGCAAGGCTGAGGGCAGAGGGAAAACACGCAGCAACAGGAGGGCTAAATGTCACTTCAGCATGTAAGACACAGAAGCAAAAGAAAGATTCAGCTTCACCATGAAACCTTACATGCTGCTAAATTCTTTGAAGAAAAGAAGTGCCATGAGGAGTGAGACATGCCCAAAGCTGTCAGGAAAACACCGAATTTTTCCTGATTCCTCTCTTGTTTTCCTAACATGAAAGCAAAGCAAGGATCAGCTAAGGCAAGAACTGGCGTTCTTGGCTCACTCCTTAGCCAAGGTCAGACAGGAACTGTAATGGGAGCACCACAGCACTGACTGTAGGCTCCAAGGGGGCCAACCACTCTGTGTGTGGCAGAAACTCTGGAGATTGAAAGAGCCTCTATGTCTCTTTTAAAGGAGTCCTGAAAGCAGGGATTTTGTCTCTACAGTATTTTTAGCTGAAAAGCACTCAAAACCAAAATGATTGAATATATTAGCTTAAGAGCTTAAACAACTGTGACAAAAAAGTTACTATACAAGAACCGCAAAACCAAAGTTAAATTGTACTAAATTCAGACCTACCCACTACAAGTCTGCATTAACTAAACTGTGATACCACACACAATGGAACACCATTTTAACTACATTTCTCTTAAAGTGTTCACTTAGCCCTGGAAACCCTCACTAAATTCTTTTTCCTCAAGAGTACCTCAAAACGTTAACCTAGACTGTGTCAAGGATATCACAAAGTATCTGGGTATAATGCAATGTACCCAGGTCTGAAGCAGCTGACTTCAGTTTGTAAATAGCATCCCAAGATGCATTATTCAGTAGCACTTCCAAGGAGAAATAGGAAATAGTTTAGCAAGTCTGTGTAATTTTTTTTTTCCTTAGCGATTAGTTACAACCATCTATTCCTAACAAGAAGGCTGACCAGTGTTCTACTATAATTCAAAACTGAATGATTAACTGTAATATGTGTACATATATATATATTTGAGAAATTATGGGCTCTTGATTTAATATTTCCTAGTCACAGCCTTTTACTTTTTATTTTAATTTTTTTGCATTTGTTTTCTAATTTCTGTTGGGAATAAAAGGAGCTTTTCCCATTCAAGTACTACTGTTCTGTGATCATGAGATCAACAGTAAAAGAGATGAGAATAGATGAGAGTTTCTAATCTCACTTTTAAATGTAACTGCTTATAATTTAAACCAAACATTTCTACAAAAAGGGTAAATAATTACTTTCTGATGCTGGTACTTGCAAAGGATCTACTTTTATCTCCATTTTTTGAATTTATAGCAACAATGACTTCTACAACAAGTATTCTCAAAGGCAAGTAGGTGTTCAGTTCAATGTCTCTCTGTAAAGGTTCAGCATCCTAAAGGATCCACTGTTTCCTTTTTCCCCCCACCCTCCTGCCCTTGAGTTTGCAACATTTTTACAACCTGTAAAGATCTCAGCACAGACCTAATCTTGCAGCCCTAGTGCAGACACTATAACACTGAAAAACGTTGCCTGCTAAAGGACTACAGCATTGGGTCTCAGTACTTACAATTAAGCTTGAAAAACTGATGACTACTTTTCCCCAGGACCCAGATCAGGTTTTAGGGATTTTTCTGCACCTTCCTGTCTGCTTGCTTGCCGCAGGGACTCAAAAAAATGAAAGATATGCCAATTAAGTTCTTCTTCTGTACTTTAAAAGGGAGAAGCACACTATTATACTAGAACACATAATGGGCACTTACCAGACCATTGCAGTTGCTTAAGGCCACCTTAGTTGTACTGTGTTGGTCTTGCAAATATCCTGTGTAATGACAGTGGTCTAAAAAATCATGCTTCCATTGCGGTCCATCTTTCCCCCAGTATTCTACTGTAAAATGTCTGGACACCAAATCTGTGTTGAGAGTCAGGTTTAAATGAAAGTGCTTTCCATAGGCAGAAAGTTTAAAAAATAATTTAGATGTTGCCAGTTCTTGGTCATAAGGATCTGTGCTCCTCCTTCTTCTTGAGTGTTTAGCATTTTTCACAGTAAAGCTGAGGAAGGCTCCATTTTGATCAACCCTTATTGGGATTGTTAGTTGGTAGTGTTCAAGGTAAGACAGGAATTCCTCTTTGTAATCAGAAGATAAGACAGTCCAGGGAGTGGGCATAGAAGAGAAGAAAATATAACAGCAAACAACAAGTAGTAGTATAAACATAAACCATACTTTAAATCTCAACACCCTCGCGAGTAAAATTTTCAGGTAAATGCAAGATATAGTGTTTTACTAAACAAAACAAAACGTTCTTCTCTTTCTAAGTCAAGAAAATATGTTTGGTTTCCTATTAATGTGATGTCACCAGAAACACAAAAGTTTTTAACTACATATCTTTTTCTACTTGCTGAAAATACGTAAGGATTCAGGGCTAAATTCTAACCTAAGGACACATTCTGCCCAGTGATACTATTAAAAAAAAAAAGCTATTATATCCACCTGCAAGAATAAAAACATAAGTAATAAAAAGTATTATATTGTAAAACCATGCAAACGGTTCTTCATTTCATTTAAAACCTATAGATTAGATCCTTACTTCCTAATCTAAAAACATATTAATGTTGTAATGGCAAGTCTCTAAACTATTATTAAGTACTGACTTAATTTTCAAGGCTTTCCTACAGTTTAAAAGCAGACTGAAAGAAATTAAAACAAAAAATTTAACCACATTTGTTGTATTTAAACTTCCATGACAATGAATCATGACAAAACTAAGAGCAGAACCCATACGATTTCATAAATTATATGAATGTGGTTTAGAAAATATTACTCAAATGCAATGCAAAAATAGATGTTTCTTGTCAGCTACAGAGGTCAGACCCCTACCTTGAGAACTATATGAAAGCCTGTTGTCACTGTGAAATTCTGATGAAACCATGACTAGGCTCAAAATCCATGTCCACGTCTTCCAAAAAATTTCCATAATTTAGAAAAACAGAAAGCTTTTTTTTTCCCCCTCCTTGGAGAGCTACCTGTGTGCTATAGAGTTAACTCCACTCCAGAATCGCACCATAACAGGTATATTTACTTTAAAGTACTTCCAAATTAACTATTGAATGTTCCACTTTTTCACAGGTATTCTTTTCCAACAACCTGTACTTTCTTCTATATCTGCAGTCATTTTCTCAATTCAAAACAAGTATTTGTAAGATTCCTTAAGATATCATTAAGACGTTAGACTGGATAGTTACTGAACTTGCTCCATTTCTTTTCCTGAAAAACAAAAGAAAATGAGTCAAGGCAAATTCTTTCTACTAAACCAGATCTATACCTCAAAACCCATCATAGTGAATATGCAATGTAACATTTTGAAATAACATTCAGCCATTATCACCTTTATGGTCCAAGGTCACAACCTTACAAAACCCAGGAATTACTATTAACCGTGAAGAGCAGATCCATACAGCTTAAGACTCACATGTCGGCTTTATGTTAAACAGGCATAAGGATTCATAAAAATAAGGTTTCTTGTTGCTCAAATGCTCTGTTCAGACTTGTTCCAGCTCTAATCAATGCTATGCACTCATTGATTTCAGCAGTGAATAACTAGACCAAATACACTGGTAGACAAAGGGAGAACCTGGGAAAAAATCCAGAGTACAGCTATCTGATCTTTCCGCAGCATGTATTTTGTTATTACTTGGGCCTGGGTTCTGCTTATGCAGGCAGAATTCTCATTCACTTAACTGAGAATGCTGCACATTCTAACACCAAAGAACAAACTTCAGTATCTGAAGCTATTCATCATAGATATTCTAATTTTTCAAATATTTTTTGTCAAACGTGTTTTGTATACATCTTAACTACAATTTGATGTAGTAGAATATATTTTTATTTTCATTTTGCAGGTCACGGGACTGAGCAAATAACATGTTACTTGCCTTTTTTTTTTTTTTTCTCCTCTCATTTAAAACACTACTGTCGTAATACTAAAAAGCAGCTCTAGCTGTGGCCAGAGATTAAATGGAAGATCTGTGCAGTCAACTAACATCCAGTATCATGGGACACCAAACCATGTGTTGTGTCAGCTAGTACTAATCAGTTCTTTTAAGCACCCTCAGCACACCTGTGCATAGAGCAAATTCTGCTGAGGCAGACAATGGAGAAACAGAACACCTAAGAAGGGCAGACACTTTAAAAACAAATTTCCAAAAGCATACAGTCACTTACACATGCACCAGATAAATTTCCCTTTCTAAAATACTGGGAATTATTTACAACATTCATTCAGACAGGTAATACCACTGCAGCCAGTAGATTATTTGCAAAAGCTAAAGAGTACATCACCTCAAGAAAAAACAACATCACGGAAGTCCAACTTATTAACATCACAATGAATATTAGGAAACTTCTTAGTCAATTTGAAATGCATCTAATTACTACTGTGTAAATGAGGTTAATCTGATCATTCCAATACCTACTTTTTAAATATCATTCATGACAGCACACAAGACTTGATCAGGTTTGTAGAGGCAATAACTGGTACTTTGCAAGCATAGCTTGGGCTCAGTATTTTGGGAGGGGGAAAGTGTGAGGATTTAGCCATGCCATTCACATTCAGCAAGGCCTCAAAGTATATTAATTAAAATCTCTGGTCTGGCCTTCCATGTAAAACCTTTATTTTCCAAGTAATATTTAGTTACAGCTTTTAGACTTCTACAAGTTTTCAAGAGACATAATCAACCCCATGCTCTTCGGCCACATTAGTAAACTAAATAATGTGTCCTATTCATGAGAAAGTCCTGTTTCAAATTCCTGTCACTGCATCATGCTCTACCCCTGTCTGCTTAATGAGCTGCTTTCTTCTTGCATGGATAGTTAAAATCTGATATAAGCACCTCCTGACAGTGTTTGATAAGCAGCTCAACCTATTTGGTTTACCTCACTCTGTACAATCCAGTTTCCAGATGTCTAATTAATTCTGCAGTTTTTCTCTGAACCCTTTCCAATTTGTCAGCATCCCTTTTCATGCATAGACACCAGAAATGGACACTGCAGTCCAGTAATGGCTCATTACTGCCATATATAGTGGTAACACTGCCTCACAGCTTTACTTAGCCAAAAAAACATAACGGGTAGCTCATGTTCAGACTGTTAGGCTGATAATACATTATCCTAACATTAACATCTCCTGAAATTGTAGTACCTAAGGAGCTACATAGCTCAGAATACTGGACATAAAATACAGTGTTCATTATTTAGACACCAAGAGCCCACATGGTTGAGCGTTGGTCAACAGTGTCCCACAGTCACGCACACCTACTACCTTTCTTTGCAGGGGTCTCCCTCATTCCAAGCTTCACACAAGAAAAATCTCCTTTCACGTTAACTTCTGCTGGAAGTTCGAGCACAATTTTTAACCTCCTTTCCAAAAGTATTATAGTCAACTTGAGCACTAATACGAGCAGACCATGCATAGCTAGCTATATTAATGCTCTGAACTAAGGAGTAGTAATGGACATAAAGGCTAAAGCACTTGAGTAACTCCAGATATAGTACTTCCAGTATGAAGTACAGTAGGAACCTCAAAGCATCCACTGTCTAGACACTTTTTTTCTTTCTGTCTTCCTTATTAGTGTATATTCATCATTTCACTTTTGATTGTTGACACATTTGGTCAACAGTAAGCTTACAATAAGAAGTGTTTCTGATGTTTTACAGCTTAACTACACGTGCACCCACGGGTAAGGGTGGCTCCATGTCCTAAACCACTACCTACAACCACAGTTCCCGCTTAATTATAAACACTGTCAAGGAGCAAAGTGCGAGATGTTTTTCAGAATCTAGGATGCCGACGACAAAGCAGAGGCACGGCATTGGCATTTCTGTGGAGGCACTGACGACAGGAGTGGCAGTCATGTCACTGGTAACATAAGCCTCCTACCCACTGAAAGTCAACGAGAAAAAAGGCCATATACACATACTTTGGGGCAGAAAGTAGACTGTGGGGAAGCGACTAGACAAGCTGCTCAGACCAGTCACCTAACCAAAGGCGCCTTGGGCAACTAAAGAAACCCGTAAACCGCGGGTAGTTGAAGCGTTAGGCTAGGCACGCTGCCCGGACACCGCGCTCTCAAGAGCATCACCACACGTGTCGCCCTCCCGCGGGGACTGCCAAGTCGCCCACCGCTCCCGGGGGTCTCCGCACCGGGGGCGTCCACCACAGAACCGCCAGACTGTGCCGGCGAGGTCTCCCGGTAGCAGCCGAGCTGCCGAAACCGACACAGCAGCGCCGGGTCGCGCAGACCAGCGGGGGTTACGCCGCGGGGTAGAACGGAGGGGTCAGGGTAAGCGAGAAAAGCGCCGAGCTCGGCGGTGGGCTGGACAGGCGGGGGTCACCGCGCCCTCCCCCGGCGGCTCCGTCCCGCGCCGCTTGAGGGGGGGCGGGCGAACGGCCCCCC